TTTTATTTCGTTAGAACGGTGGTCTGGCCGGGTGCAAGCACAGTCCGAACACGGCTCACCAGAATATCACGGAACAAAATGATTCCTCGGCCTTGCCAGCGATATATTCGTGTCATAAAGGGTACAAATGGAACTCGCACAGGGAGACAGACCGATGATCCGAGTCGGGGCAGAAATTTCTTCCTCGGATTCCCGAACGTGCCTGATTGATGACGCTGTTAACGTGTATTAATGATACGGCCTATATGCCAGAAAAATTCCCCCGTCGAACACCGAAACGCCGGTCTACGATTAAATAAACATCGGATTGCACGTGGACGGGTAATCCCTCCGAACGAAACGAAGTGCGATAATACTTTCACGCGACTGTAATAACTCTAATAAAGCGGCGAGTTAAGCTTCGCGAAAATTCATAAATTTCGCGCGTTCGTTGTTATTCGCGGACTTATCCGTAATCGATGTTTACAATTATAACAAATTACCGATGACCGGACTCTAATAAACATATTCGTTTTATTATTGCAATTCACGAGGGCGAGCGCTGCTTATCTTCCAGATAAATTATCTTTAAGCCCGTCGTTAAACAAATACTCTGTTCGCCGACACACGGGATGTCTCGAAAATTCTAATACGACCGGAAGGGTAATGATCCTACGTGCAAAAGATAAGTCGAGATGAAAAAATAATATTTTTTCGTTTAAAAAAGAGTTTTGAGGTTCTATACTGTTACGGTTTCGATTTACCGTAATTCTGTTTCCTGTTATTGCCGTTGTCTCGTTTCCACGATATCTCTCTGTATTATTATTCTCCTTCGTTCTATATTTAATTTGAATGGTTTCTCGAATAAGAAGAAGATCGGTGCTTTTGAACACGAAGAATATAACCATTCATGTTCCATTTGCGTGTAATTAATAGTGCAAATCGACAGTAAGAACGATATCAGCAATGACAAAACGCAGATAGCATTGCCTATGAACACGCACAGAAGCCGAGCTTCGATAAGTCGAAACTCGCAATTGATACACGAACAGCGTCAGATTTTCGATCCCGTTTTTCATCCAGACGAGACTTGAAATAAAAAGACATTCTCCATTTTCGACTTATTGTACAGAGAATCACACTCCTCGTACATCCGCGTACAAATAGCTTGTTCAAACAGCAACTGAAATTCGCGAACACCTTCGAGTGCAAAAATCGCTGGGGATCGTATTCCGAAATTACCGTTACATTTATTCACGGTCAATTATCGCGTTCGAGGCACGAACGAGACGAACGGTGAAGCGGAATTGAACTCTAGCAACGACCCGCGCGAGGACTCGCGAATCCACTCTCCAAACCACTCGCGCGATAAGGCACGTGGAATTAATCTCGTCCCGTGTCGCACCCTTCTTTCGCCGACGTCCTCCGCTATTTTTCACCCTTTTCTCGCGTGTCCTCCTCTGTTCATTGCGCGTCCGCAAGCTCCGACGCTTAATCCCGCGTTCGCCGCGAGCGTGACCCGGGCTGAATTTTAAATCTGACGTATTACACGCGTAGCCGGTGTACGGAGTCGGAAGGACATCTACATAGAGGCAGGGAATTAGCATAAGCCATTGTCCTGCCAGCGTCTCGGCCAGGAGAATGGTATCTGAAAGCTCTACCAGCTACAATAACCCTTTATACAGCGCAGGTGTAGTACTGTTATAACCGTAAATCGCATGAAAACCTATCGCGAGCGCTTTCGCGATTCTGTTCCACTGGCCACCGGAATTACGACTTGCCAATTAACCGATTATTATCGCCCGGGCCAGATATTGCCGGCTCTCAATTATGCCTGGGGATGTCTTGATAATACGGGCTAAGCGCGATAATCGTACCCTCTCTCTATGTGCATTGAAATTGATTTAAACAGTCGCTTAATCGAATGTCGCGTATTGATCGTTGGTCGAGAGAGAACAGGTCGATCGGGGTGTACAGTGATCGGAGTGGAACGATAGATCTCTGGTCGTGGCATATTTTCCGTTTCATGTTCCAACAACATTTGTTCCTCCGGTTAGCCTTTGATTAAATCGCGTAATTCTCCGAGCATATACCGTACCATAATTTCTTACAACGATAGAGATACGAGTTGTCGAAGACGTGTTAAAGAACTTGGAAGAATGTGGAAAAATATAGGACTGACTTTGAGTCGGTGGATTATCTGGTTCGTAGGATAATTGAAATATAGATTGTTTCGTTATTGACATCGCGTGTAGAAGTTGGTGGGAATTTTTCCACGATCTTAATTACCTCTACCGAGTAGATACTGGTACGATGATCGTCATTAATCGCTAACCTTTTGCTACAATATTGCCGTCCTCGAACCGCCTCTGAAGACTCGAGATGATCTCGTATCTCGCGTTTTGACGGAAAAGTCTGCGTACCAGGAATTCGCCAACGAGTCGCGATATACTTTCGTTCGCTTAGGGAAGTGGGAAAAAACGGTACTACCGAGAAACGTGATTCACTCCGTCTCATCCCGGGATTTCAACTCTCTAACTAGGGTTCTAGGAAGAAGAAAGAAGCACACGAGGCGGACAAAATTTCCTCATATGACGTTAACAAGTCACTAGGCCAAAATGGCACGAGGAATGACTCACGAGAGAGACAGCGAAAGTGCAACGGATGCACTTTCCTCGTTAACATGTTCCAAGGCAGAAAAGTTTCGTTTGACGAACGAAAATATTTTGCTATACGTGTTCGAGCGAGGTAGACGCGGATCGAGCTCCCAGGAGTTAGACACGAGTGTTATTTTTTCCTAATTAACACTCGCGACGTGAAAAAGAATTACGCAGATAGCCAACTCGGACAATTTTTAGATCCGTATCTTATAATTGAGATATTTACGCAATTATCGTTATGTTGCATGACGGTCTCTAATATTTACTTTAAACACAGCATGTCCAGCTTAGCACGAGTAGCTCGAATGTATCGCTTATTATCAATGACGGGAAAAAATGTCGAAGGAAAATATTATTTCACTCGAAGTAAAGTCTTCGAGACCTCGAAGTCATCGATATTTTTTTAAACAGGACTACACGCTTTGACTCGTAACGTTGTAATAATATTCGCGTGATCCCAAGTGGTGACAAATTCAAATAAAAAAAAAGAGAAATTAAAAATGGACATACATAAATAATAAAATAAAGACACTGGCGAAAAAATATTTATTTCATTCATGAAAATACTCCTCCAAAGAAAGGTTTTTATTCTAAACCCATGCTACGAAGGATGCTACTTACTAGAACTTATTTTAATTATGGAACAAATATATTTTAAATTTCCCTCCGTGATTCCGAATAGAAACCACGAGGGCTGGTAACAAGAATGAGCGAAAGAAAGTTGATTCGGCTGTCTGGGATCGGAGTCGACGGTTAAATATTCCATCGTGACTCGGTCGTGTAACGTGTTAATCGAACGCGACCAGCCTTCTTTATCTCCGTATGAAGAAGAGAAATTATCTGCGTACGGGGAAAAGAGGAGACAAAGAGGGAAAAAAGGAGGAATCGTACGGCACATGACGCAACACACGAGCGACGCTGGAGTGTTTTGACAAATGACGAGCAGCACTCGGGGAGAGGCGCGCACATGTCCCCGGTGCGCGTCTCGAGCAACTCGCCAGAGGGTCTTACCCTCTCTTGGCATATGCGAATTGTGTGTCAGGAGGATCGTAAAAATCCGAGAGCCGCCGGGGACCGTAGGATTTTTCGGTGAATTTTCACACGAGGAGGTCCCGGTCACTGGCTCGCCCCGTTCAATTAAGTTCCAACGCCGGAAACACGTGAACCTACTTTACGCTTTTAAAATCCTGCCTTATTCGGCGGAAAACGGCGAGGAAAACCGCTTTAACGCTTTCAACGACCGTCGATGCTCGATTAATTGAAACTCCATCGGAGCGAGTTCCTCCTGCGCTTTCCAAATTGTTCCGTGTATTTTATTCGAACGGATTAGGGGCCGGAGATTTTTCGAAAGACTCGCATGATCGAGGAAATGTACGATCGAGGTAGAGAAATTTCGAACGCTTGCAATTGCGAGTATGGTTTCTCGAGTGGTAAAATAATCTCGTAGCAATATCGCGAACGGTACGAGACAATTAGTCCAATTTTCGTGATAACGGGACACTGACATAGCAACACGCGTGCTAAGTATTCAACTCGTCGGATCGATTGCTTTTCGGAAAAATAAAATTACGGTGTTTGGGTAAATAATCGAGGGATTATTTCGAGCAAAGCATTTCGGGTGGAATCTCTCGAAATCGGAATGCGAATGTGATCCTAATTCCCGCTATGAGTCATCGAATGCCTCGTATCTTGCTCGATGTTTGAACTGTTTCCTAATTTATCCCGATTAGCGTGACCCCGAGGCAAGAAAGGTTCCTAATAAGAGCGAATCGACGAGAAATTTAAACGATTAAATTTCCCTCTCTCGTACTTTCGTGCATCGTCTTCTTACTCGATGGACCATAACGTCTCGCGAGATGGAACAACCGAGCGGAGGAAACACGATCGACGAGGTCGAAAAACCGACTAAAGAAGCGGGCAAAAGCGGAGCGCTGCCTCGTAATTATGTCACAATTGTACGCGGCGCGCGTATGTGGCGTAACACTCGGATAAGCGGAGTAATGAGCCCGATAAAAATGCGTGGAGCGGCTATTTTTAGAGTTTTTACGAGTTTCGTTGCTAATACAGCATCGAACGGTTCCCCGATCAGCAGATCCACGACTATCTATCGAACATCCGTATAACCGATCGAAAAATTCGAATAAAAACTGGAATAAAAATTTAAATAAAAATTCGAATATCCAAGAAAGGTTAGCCGAGAATTAATCATTCTTTCGCTAAATTTTGTACGATGATCTAAGAGAGATTCGATCACTGTAAGTTCCAACAGCCCGGCCATCGATGCCGGGTGCCGGAGTTGCCAGGACCGGCAGGTTCGAAGGAAAAACGAAGAAAATAAATAGAATAAGTTTAATCACTAACCACGTGCTCCTGATGGCCGTCATTCCCGCTGAGGATCGGCCGGGACCACGGCTGGGAAACCGGAAAACCCCTCTGACACTGGTATGTGAGCCGAAGGAACGACAACGCGCACCACCTCCGCGGACGGGAGTCGGCCACTGACTGAACGTGACTCTGATTCTCTGGAACCGGGAGGAGGCTGCGTCGACCGGTCAGGGACCACGAGCCTGCGGCCTTCTGACACTCAAGTCACCGTCAATTTCTCCCCCTTCCTTCTCTCTCTTCCTCTCTCTCCCCCAGCCTCTTTCTCTTTCTCTTTCACCGGCTGTTGCCTTTCGTTTATGCTTTTCTTTTTTTCCTCGATAAACAAACGGTCCTTTTTACGCCGAGCGGGAGAATTTGATTCTTCAGGCACGGTTTGCTTGCTCGCTTTCTTTGCTTTCCTCTTTCTTTCCTCGGTTGGTTACCGGTGTAGATCGGGATCAGGGACCGAGAACTAGTAGCCTATCGGTAGTCGATACGGTTTGGATCGCGACTGCTATCTTCGAGATCGCGGCGCGATAGATGTTCCAACGCGTAATTGAACATAGTCGACTGTTTTAGTTTGAGGATCTCGTTAGACAGTTTTTGCTAATCTTTTGCTAAATATGCTCACGAAATGGAAGAGAAACGAGCTGATATAACAGCCAGACACCTTGCAGGCTACTTCGGTTGCGTGCTCGGTAAACAGTGGATTACTGCACTCGGAGAACCCTTTATACAGCAGGTATCTAAAAAATTAATTTCCTTTTCTCTTACCTATCAATTATTTTTGTCAAAATTCCCTTGTCATTTTATATTTCGCCCCCCTTTGTGGAACCCCCTTTAAACAAAGTCTAGATTAATTTGCACGGCGCTGAGATTAGCAGTGTTATCGCAGTTCGCGGCGTAACGAGCTGCGGAATTGGTCGGAAAAACGGACGCGCGTAGGAAATCCGGAAGAGATCTCCGGGAAAGCGGCGCAACGCGCTTCTGACCCAGTGTGGAGTCGTTCAAGGGCGGGTGGACAGGAAGAGCAATGGGTTCTGGAAATTCATTCAGCCGCTCATTCACTCGGCTCGCCAACGTCTTAATGAAAAGTGAGCAGGCGATTTACGAGCGATCGTTCGATGCGCGCGTAGAAACCGCCGATGAATAATGGAACGCGCGTTCTCTGGATGGCCCCTTAATAGTAACCAACGACACGATTCCTGCGCGATGGAATACACCGTGTATTCTCACCAGAGACGGCGAGGCGAGCCGAGAACTGGACGAAAGCGACTAATTAAATCTCCAAGGGCGGGTTATTTCGTTGCCGGTAGATCGTTCCGCGATCCTCGGTTGGATCTCGATCGACGAACGCAGGGAAAGCTTGGCGAAAGAAGCTCGTGGACAGGAAAGTTCCAGCGATAAGATTTAATAGGTAAGGGACCGGCGGTAAATCGCTTTAACAACTACGAGCACGGGACCAATTGTTCCTGCAGCGATCCTTTGCCAGTTTTAGCCCGGTTACCTCGAGGTGTTCCTCCACCATGGGCAACTCGATCTCGCGCTTCCGAAGTAACTGCTTTAACTCGGCCGTCTTTTAACCCGGCGAGCATCGTCGAACGATCGATAACGAACGATCTACCTGTGCCAACGATTTCCTCGATATTCGACGATACTCGTTTTACTGGAGACACTAGCGAACGGAACGTCGACTGTCAGACTTACGTTCATACGCGGAGTCCAACGTTAGAATCCAAATTTCCACTGTGTCACGGTTACACACTCCCTCGCAGTCGTTCAAGCTGCAGTACGATCGATCGTATCGATCATACGAAAATCGAGAGGAATTCCATGAACTATCGGACGTTCCTCGATCGCCAGCGTCTCCAAACGGATAATTCGCGTGGTCGTGAAAAACGAAGGTAATCGATCCATTAGGACTAACCGTGTGCATCGACGGCGCATCGTGACGGATGACAGTGGCCCGTCGTCCCGGCGGGAATCCTCGACGTGAAGCCTCCTCTCTTATCCCGTGTAATTCGCGCTGACGTGAGACCGGCACCGAGTCGAGTCCTCGCGAAAGGACGCGCGCGTGCAACTCACGAGAGAAAACTGACCGAAAGAAGCGCGGTACACCAAGAGAGAACCTAACCCCCGATACCGAGCTGCTTTCGGTTCGTCGAGAGGGAAAGAGGGAGCAGAACGGACGCAGAGAGCGGGAGAGAGAGGAGTCGAGAGAGGAATGGAGAGAGAAGAGAGAGAGAACCGAGAGAGAAAGTGGCAGAAGACAGTGGGAGAGTGGAAGAGAGACGAAGAGGAGGTAGCGTGGTAGCGATGGGCGACGAAGGGGCGAGGGGGGCGAAAAGCAGCGACAGGGTGGAGGACTGCAAGAGAGGAAGAGAGGAGAGAAGCGACGAGGGTGGGAGAGAGGTGGAGCTGGTGGGGACTTCTTACTCATTCATACTCAAACGCCCCCGCAAAATTGCAAGCACCGTGCTTCTTCTCCACGCTCTGACTGTTAGCCACGCTGCTCGATTAACGAATTCGTTGCACTCGGTTTCGCCCTGCTCGAAAGACATCCTGATCCACATGGCAATGACTTGGTACCAAAGTGACGGGGGTCGAGGAAGGGATTTTCCCGAGGATCTTTAGTCCAGCTGAGGTTTTCGGAGAGAAAGGGATTGATAAGCGTGGAAGATTCGGCTCGGAGATTGGCCCTCGTGTCATGTTCGAGGGAACCGAGGGTGGTTAGCGTGCAGATGTGGCGAGGGTTGAGATTCGGCACGATTTTATCGGCTTAACCTTCGGAGGTGCCGCTTTTCCGAAGACCGCAGAGTCGCATGAATGCGATCGATTTGTGTACATCTGATCGCAATGTGTTTGAGAAAACGGGGTTAGATTATCGATACGGTCTCGCGATAAGATAGACCGATTTATTTTTAAATCGCGCTGTCAGTGTATGAACGCGCAATAAAAATCTTTCGGATGATTCTCTTATCTTCGACTCCAGATTTCTGTTTATAATCCGAACTCGAATGCAGAGGCTCCTAATATCCACGGTATATCTAACAATTGAATTGAAGATACCGATTACGCGGAGGCACCATGATGGATTATCCTACGAACTATACCGAGAATGCTAACACGAGCACTCATTCGATGTTGTTCTTACCTCGATCGCCATAACACGCATATTCTGTATATTTTTCGTGGCTGCGACCAACGAGGTCATCCTTAACACATTGACGTATATATACGTCATCCGTGCTTTTTACTAGGATCCAGATGACGCGAAAATATGTCATCGAGATTTTGCATGTACCTATCTTAAAATAAATTTTGGAAACGCTATAAACGGCTCAGCTAAGCTTTCAACATAAATATCATAATAAATGTTTCACAAGTTGAAACAATTATACACTTTCTTCATCTTCTTTTCCTCTTCTGATTATTGCAACTGTATATACATTAGATATGGTAGAAATTCAACACTTAGCCTTCGTCTTCGGAATGCAATCAGGGACAAGCGATATCTTTGTCTCTATTATAATGAGATAGCCCAATTTACTTGATAAAACGATCGTGCATCAACAGATCGAGAGCACCTTTCCGTATTGTCTTAACTTCTGCAAAAGAATGGTAATTTCCCCAAAATCCAGATTCCACGAAATTTCTTTGAAAAATATTATTTATTTTAAAAATTATGATAGTTTCTTCTAACCTAACGCGATTGGGAAGAAGACGCGTCTTTTCGTATCCGCGTAAACTGCAACTCTGAGCGTCCCGAAACCAATGTGTTAAGCTGCAAAGAGTTCGCGAAAGGTAACCAAAGAATGGAGCGACGAGGAGCAAAAATAATGAGCACGTTAGTGTAACGTAATTAGAAACGTTGCCCCGCGAATGCTATCGGGCGTGAATTTCATTTCGAGCATCGTGCGCGACGTCGCGCAAAATTCGACGGACGCGATTACCGAACGAACGTTAACGTCCGTTTGTTAATTAATGCGCGCGGCATGGTCGTCGACGAACAATACGCGTCGAACGCGCCGATTCAATTTCGACAGGCCGGATTAACGCGTCCCCGACGACGATCCACGCCGACGATCCACGCTCGATCGCGGCATCGACACGCGCCTTTTATTAATCACCGCCCGGGTTTTGTTAATTATCCCTCATTACCGGCAACCCGCGATCGAAATAATCCGAGCACGCGTCTACTGTGGCGCCACTCTGGCTGTCACTCAACGCCAAGATCGTAGATCGATGTCGATTATCGAGAAATAACGAAATAACAACGTTTAGGACAGTCACCCACGGATGAAGTTAGAAGTGAGCCTATGAAATTGTTAACTCGGGAACCACTCATTTGGCAAATCAATCGACTTCGTGACACTAACAGTAGAAATTTACTTTAATTGTAAGAAATTTTAATAAACCACTTTGGCGTTAAAATTTTACAAAATTCTGAATTTGGAGTTAATCGGTTTAGTCTGTGTATGATTCATGCGTGTTGCGTATGTTGGAAAAATTGCAGGTGTATTTAAGATATGGAGTGTGTTCGTAATTGGCGGTATTTACAATTGATATTTATCGACAATTATTGTTTCCTGCCTGTTGACATTTATCGTTTGTTACGAATCGTTTGTAACTGTTGATATTCCTGATAGCTTAATTATATTTATTGACAGTAATCGACTCGTCGATAACGCAATATTTGTCAGCGGTTATTGACATACGCGATTTCGTTATTTAAATGTAACTAGCACGGTATGAATCGCATTTGCCATTCCGATTTATGCGGGAAATTAATCAGGACGCGAAGAAATACAAATCTTGCCGAGAGGTACGGAAAATTGTACAGAAATTAGCAAGCAATCTCGAAGAACTAATTCTCATTGCTTCTTGGAAGCTATTGATATTCGCTTATCGACGTCGGCTAGTGTCCGTCAACATTTACCGAAAAGATAAATATCATTTTGTTCAATTTAAACTATCGACATCATCTATGTCAGCCATATAAAACAAACTGTGAAATGAAAACGTCGGTTACATTTCTGATATATGTATATACCAAAGAAACCAACCGCAGCCGAAATATATATGTATTAAAAATAATACGGGATAAACTCTTCGTCCATCTTTTTGAATCTGTTTTTTTCAGGGTATCCCAAGGGGATGATCGATCTTCGATCGATAACAGTCGCATTTCCGTCACGTAAACGAGAATTTCTGCCAGCCGCCACCTGTTATATCGCTCGCGAAATTACGAGATTCGGGGGATTATTAGCGATTCAGCCGTCGAAAATTCGCCACGTGCCGCGGTCTGACCCCTCCGTTGACCGATCCCTCATTGACGAATTCGCCCGATGACAAATCGCGTCGCACGTGCGACTAACTGATAGCGCAGCGAGTTTCTGTAATCCTCGCGATCCCAAAGCCACCGGTGGCCGATTAGCGAACGCGATTGCGTTCAGTTAATTAGTGCGTCGCGATTGTCAGGCTGCAATCTGAATTTCCTCTATATGCGAGATCCCGTCGCCCTATTGATTTCCCTTCGTGGCTAGGAATCGTAAATACGAAATAAATACGAAATAAATGCGAAGTAAATGCGAAATAAATGCGAAATAAATGCGAAATAGGTATGAAATAATAATTACAAGGCAAATACGAAATCTCGATCACACGCTTTGCGAATTTACATATTTTATTTCCCTCGCAACTCCGCTTGTTTAAACACTTTTTCAGAACACTTCACCCGCCTGACAGATGTAAAACATTGCCGAGTATGTTGAACATTGCGTTATCACGAATAACATTTAGCAGACGAAAAAGTATAAGAGCGATTGTTTTCCGCGTTGCGCAATCAGTGCGAGAAATCAAGGTGTTTCGGAAATTATTAACGTTACGAGGGACAATGATCATTTCTCTAAGGCGTATTTCCATCGTCGTGCTTGAGAAATTAGTCGTGTTGGAATAAATAAACATCTGCCTGAAAATAGGAGCGCTAAATTTCGCGAAAACTGTGGCAGCGCCGATATTTATTTAAATAGTAGACATTTTCGTAAACTTTTTCGCTTCGACTCCAATGCTTCCACCAATAAAATTTTTCTTCTATCCCGAACTAATTTCGTACCTTTCCGCGAAACCGTGCAAATTTAATTACTTCAACCATCGCGACTCTCGAGTGATATTACAAGACTCTGCGATTAGGTTCACGAAGAATGGAAAAATTTACGCAGAATCTGAGAATCGACTGTTCTTTACGACCACATATGCAAAAGGAAGGAATTTTAATTCTGATTCAATTTCGAGCATACGAATGATTAATACCAATTCTAAACCCATCGTGATCAAACGACCTGCGAATGAAATGAAAGTAGAACCTGGAAAAATTGGAATCTCGTACCCACTTCCAATATTGGACGAAAAATCGCGAGTGACGTTGGATGCCGATGAAAGTTTAGAAACCGTCATTTAGGCCATGGTCGGTATAGCGTCGAGATATCAGAGCACCAAACATCGTTACACCTAATTAACAAATTTTTTTATCGCCATCATTTCGAAACGAAATCTCCGAAGAGATACCAGTTTCGCTTAGCAGCTTGGTTATCGCTCGGTTAGGTCACTTTTTCCGACGGCAGGACACGTGTCCTGTTACAGAGCTGCGAGGGATGGGCGTCAAAGGAAGCAGCTAGTGACCTCGAGAAGCAACGTTTCTATTTAGGGCAGACGATAGACGATAACCGTGCTCCAGGATGCAGCCTGATAGAAAGCGGCGCGTGCGATTTAATTTCATTGAGATAGACGGCCATTCATGTCCGCGACACGGTTCATTCTTGCCTCTCATTGAACCCTACCGCCCTAACGATTTTCGTCCACAAGCTGAACCACATCTACTCGCCTCTATTAATTACTTCCCGCCAAAAATCTCCGTTTCTATCCCACCACTAACACAACGAATTACCCAACCATCGTTCTCTCTCTCTGTATCTCGTTCGTGATTAACCACGCCGTTCTAGGAAACAGAAATCAAAGGGAAGATCAGCGTTGTAACGTCTATCTGCAGGTTTAATTAATTTCATCGTTGATTAGCCACGTTTTCGGTTCGTTAATGTAATTGGGTCATTAGATAACGCTTTCGAAACTGCTAGCCCGAGTCTGGCCGTGGAACGGATGAACGATGCTGATTATACGCTGGAAATAAACGAAGGCGAGAGAAAAAGAGGATCGCTATTGTCTGACACCGCGATACACGCACGCGCGTTACAAAACGATGACAGAGCGAGCTTTTAAAACGGTTACGTTTCGGTGTGGGATAAAATAAAAGAGGAATTTAAGGAAACTTGCATCGAGAGCTTGTGGAATACTTGGGAGATGCGTCGTTGAAGAAAATAGATCAAACATGGCGTACAGCTATAATATCCAAGAGGTACCACCTGAAGATGTTCCCTGCGTGGAGCACGATATTCGACGCGCTAAAAAGTTCCTGCAGAAACACAGTCCAGCGTCAGGTGACAGCCTGTGAGTTCGCGAATTTGAAAATATTAAAAAGTATTCGAAAATATTACAAAATATCGGTAGATCGGTCGATGGTTGCCCGAGTACGAGGTTAGGGAAAGGAAAGAAAGTATCGAATCGCGGCCATATCGATTTCCGAGATCGGACAATGGAAAACTGCAATCACGATCCTTAAAGTGGTCCGTAGCTGGCTCGCGGAAGCGCTAACTCGGTTATCAAAGCAGAAACGCTTTGGAACAATAATCACCCAGTTTGGTACTCGATTTATTATTAATCGAACGAGAAGACGCGAATACCTTCGCGTCATTTCCATTGTCGTTACCTCGGCGAATGCAAATCGCGATGTCGAGAGGTTTCCTCGACGAAGGTCTCTGATCGCGAACGACTCTCAGGTACGATCACTTGACGGAAGTGTTGAGCAAGATACTCGCCGAGAAACCGAAGAACGCGGTGGATATTTTCGAGGAGTACAGCAGAAAGGTGAAAGAGGAGAGGTTCAAGACGAAGTCTCAGCACTTGCGGGACGTGCACGTACCGCCGCCTCAGTTCGAGAACGCGAAGAAGATCATCGAGCTGTTCAAGGTGCGGACAACCGGCAATTAACAATTAAACCGTTTGATCCAGCGATTTAGCTGTCGTATAAATAATAACGCGACTCGTGGGAAACTCGGTCGTTATTTAGCCCCGCGGATCGAGCGTTTCTCTGTAATTACAGAAAGTTCAGCAGCTATACGAGAGCGAGGAAGAGAGACTAGCCGCAGAGGAGGAAGACGAGGGAGAAGAGAAGAAGAAGAAACTGCCGAACATGTTGGATCTCCTGTTCTATTTCGAACAGGCCAACGTTGGATTGCCTCGCACACAGATGGTGCTGCTTAATTTGTCTATGAGGAAACTCATTGCCGAGGCTCCTATCGAGAACGTCAGGTACACCCAAGCCTTCTCGCTTCGCGAAAAAATCCCGAAAATCCCTCGATAATCGACGATTCGATGATGCAGATTTTGGGGAAAAATTCTTGGAAATCCGAAAAATTATTACGTGGTGGAAGCAGACTTGAAGGCGGAGGAATTGGCACTCAGGCAAGAGGTAAGAGTATACTCTGAAACGAAGAACGTCTCTTTTTCTTCTTTCTCTCCACGAACAAGTAAACGATGTTTGCTTCGACGTTGTTGTCGAACCGGCTGGAAAATTCGCGATTCTCGCGAAGCGCCACGGGACAACGCGACAGAGCGAATTAATTTGGGAAAGAAAGCGAGCAAAACGCTTTCTGAATCCCGTCCACGCGTCTGCAGAAAATAGCAGCGGAGGAGGAACGGAGGCGTGAGGAGGAGCAGGCGCGAGCGGAAGAAGTGGCGAGGGCGGAGAAAGAAGCTGCTGAAAACGTGGAAAGAGAAGCAGCGGAGGCAGCCGAGGAAACGGCAGAGGGAACGGAAGAGAAGGAGGAACACGAGGGCTTGAAGCTCGTCTTTCCGCCTCTGCCTACTCGTTCATGGCTACGGCCACCGGAAGTGCCTCCGGAGAGAATCGGAACTGGCACGAATGCCAAGGTACGCTTCGTCAGCTTCTTCGACGTACGATCAGAAACAGCGAAATTCCGTTTCCTTTGCTTGCACGCGTATCGAATGAAAACACGATCAACCGAATAAAATAAACGAAATAATACAGCGTTGCGCGGGGTGCGAGAGTTTCGCTGGGAATGAAATTTCGCGGTATAAATCACGGTTTCCGGTGGACGTTCTGGTATAACGATATCGTTAAACGAGGTTCGATTAATCGAAAGGGAATCGCATTGTCCGCGTTGAAAACATCGAACCGGCATTCAAAGCGGGACGCGGCGTTCGAATTAATATGCGACACAAAACACGGCGCGTGTTTTCCTGCGCGTGATCCTGCTGGTCGACTTTGTTGCAGGTGTATTTTGTATGCAACGAGCCCGGCCTGGACAAGTGGATCGAACTGCCACCGGTTACGCCGCAGCAGATAGTAATTGCACGACAGATTGTCCGCTACTGCACGGGAAATTTGGAAACCCCGGTACGTGTGCGTCCCTCTGTCAAAGAGAGGGAAAAATAGAGAAAACAGAGAGAAAAAAGAGGCCGAACTAAATGAAGTAAAAGGAGGGAGAGAAAAATAAGGTAGAATGGAAGAAAATTCGTAAATTAATCGTTTTCGATTCACAGATTCACACCTTCCCGCCATTCCCGGGGACGGAAAAGAATTACCTCCGCGCGCAGATAGCCAGGATCAGCGCGACCACCCAAGTCTCGCCCATCGGATTCTTTACATTCGGCGGCGGGGCTGAGGAAGAAGAGCTGATGGAGGAAATGGAAGAAGGTAACATTTCACGTCTATCTGAGAGAAAAATCAGAGAAGAGAGATCAACGCTGTAAATTGCTCGAGTCCTTCCTCCTCGTTTTGTTTATCCCACTGCTACCTCTTAATCATCCCTAACGCTGCTCTTATCGATCATAAAACCATGCTACCCTGACAGTTTAGAGGAACGTTCTTTGCATATACAGGCGGAGAATTGTCCGAGAACGCGCATTACGACCCTCTGCCACTCAAGGATCTGATAGACCCCTCCATGTCCAACTGGTGTCACCATGCGCCCTATCTTTTGAAACAGGGGCGTGTCGTGTGGTGGAATCCAAAGTTGGATGAACGAGTAAGTTCGTTTTGTCGAGAAAACTGACTTGCGATGAAATCGAAGTGAAGTACGATAAATATCACGAAATTAGGAATTGGGTGAAGAAGAACTGGGCGAAGAAGAAGAGGAAGAGGAAGAGCCTGGAGCTGGACCGGAGAGGGAGGTTGGGCCACCTCTGTTGACACCGCTGTCAGAAGATGCTATCGTAGATTCGATAATACCATGGAGAGCCACGCAATCCTCTCGCGTGCAACCTGATCAAGCGGTGGCGTTAATTAAATCAAACATTTGGCCTGGAGCGTTTGCGTTCGCCAGTGGATGGTGCGTGCACAGGAACCCCTATTCAATAATGATTTTCCATTAAGCAGACGTATCTGTGATATTTATGTGGCCGACGAGTATAAATTCCCCTTGGGATATCGAAGAAACAGCACGGCGAGCAGGGTACAAGGGAGACGGTTTTATCGTGGGACGAATCAACCGGGAAAAGAGGAATTATGGCGCGTTAAAGGAAAATTAATGCGCGGGAAATTACGCTAATGTTACTTTAATGGTGTCTCTCTACAGGCGTTGCGCTAACGTGTACATCGGCTGGGGTCACAAATACATCGCGTACAATTACAGTCCACCGCCCATGCCACCTGTGCAAGACCAGTACAAAATCGGCCCTGAGATTATGGAAATTCAGGACCCCACCTTCGAACAGGAGGAGGATTATAGAATTGCCCATTTACCTCCGCCACCGGCTATACCGATGGGTAAAATCAGTAAAATTAGCAATTGATAAATTTGCGTCTTGTAGCACGAAAAAGAAATTTCATTTGTTATGATAGGAGAAGAAGAAGAAGAGGGAGTAGAGGAGGAAGAAGAAGAGGAAGAAGATGAATAATCTAGAAAATTACATTACCGAGAGAGTACGAATGTAGACTTACCGACAAATCATATATGACTGACTGTCGGTATTATCAGTTTTCTGTTATTTATCGAAAGAGTTCTTTGCTGTTTCTAGTGGTATTAAATTGTGGGAGATGATAACGAGAAAATGTAGGAAATTATATTATATACAGAGTGATTGTATTCAACGTTAAATGACATCGAAACTTGATTATATTTTGAAGAAATATACAAAAATAAATCCATTATTACTGAGATTCCACACGGCAAGACAGTTAGGGTAATTTCTAGGGAATTTTGTTTTCTAACACTTAAACCTTCTTTCCACGTGTGCTTCTATATATACTCTTGTGTTTGTATTATCACGCGTTCTAATACACAAGTTTCCCGCCAATTGTAATTGTACAACAAATACTTGAAAACGGAAATATGTGTGAAGAAAAATCGGAAAATATATCTGTATTACGAGCAATGAATTGTGAATTAAACCATCTTTCCATGCCTGATGGGTCAGCAATGCTAATGCAAGGTAGGTTAACTTTTGACGTCAATATTATTATTTATTATTATTTATTAATAACTTTCTGTATCTTTTAGGAGATACTGCAGTAGTTGCTGGAATTTATGGACCAATTGAAGCAAAACCACAAAAAATGATTTATGATAAAGCATCGGTTGAAGTATCGTATACCCCAATCAAAGGTCCAGCTAGTAAGTTTAAATACATTTTCAATCTAACTTAAAATAGGTCCAATTGTTTAATAATTTGTTGATATATGTATTGTTATTTCAAGAGGTGGATGATAGAATGACAGAAATGTATATTAACGAAACATGCAAAGCTGCGATAATTGTGACTTTTCATCCAGCGACGTCTATATGCATTAATATACAAGAATTAAAAGATTCTGGTGGTGTATGGCTAGTTTTACACATTCCCGATATAAAACCTTTTACTCTTTGAGATAATAAATGTGAACCAACTTTATAGATGTTAGCTTGCAGTATCAATGCAGCTTGCTTGGCACTTATTAATGCTGGAGTTCCAATGAAATTTACTATTGCGGCAGTTAATTGCATGATACATGAAGGAAATGACGAAATTATACTAGATCCTGATGAAACTCAATTACAGGTATATAAATAAATATACGTATACTTTAAGAAAAAGAGTGATATTTTTAATTGAGTACTTATGCTTTTCAGGAAGCTAAAGCGGAATTCACGTATGCATTTGATAGTGTGAAGAAAGATGTTATATGTTGTCATACTACTGGATGTTTTACCCAAACAGAATTTTTAGAATCAATGGATAAATGTAAACAAGCTAGCCAATATGTATTTGATTTTTATAGAAATCTTGTAAAAAAGTATGCGAATGTGATATAATATATATATTGGAGGAATGCAAAAATTTTTTATTCTAAATGAGACGCAGTATGTTAGAGCAGAAAACTACACACAAAGAATTAAACATGATGGGAGAACCTATAACTAATGAAATCTAAAACACACATTTCACGATGTTCAGCGATGTTCTACATTGTCCTGTGTGGAGGGACAAATAAAGTGATAGTCACAATTAAAATCTATCCTCCAAGGTACCAGAAGGTAATCTTTCAGAGGATAGATTGGACTGTGAATACTGCATAGCTCTTAGATTGGCATTGTTTGTCAAAGATGAACTTATTAAAAATTCCAAAAAGTAGTATATAAAATGAGACAAATATATAGGAGTACATCTTTAACAAACAATACCAATTACCAGGTCTCACCACATGGAAGTGGCTACACAATCGAGGCCCAGGCCTAAACACATTACTAAAATATAGTACAAAATATGATACAGAAAAAAGTACAATATATTACGGAAAATAAATCAGAAAATAAATTTTAAAGTCATTAAAGAAAAGCAATACAGAATATACTATAAAATGAAGTACAACATGTATTACAAAATAAATTTGAAAATAAATTTGGAAATAAATTATAAAATATAGGATGTTATTTCAAAAGTTGATACTTTTAAGGGGAACTTAAGGGATTTAGTTGGGTGAATTCTGGAATACAATGTGCACAGTATGTGCAGTAATACTGCACAAATGTGCAAAAATACAACATGGGTAATCAGAGGAATCATAAACATGCGACTTACCAATTGTTCACCTATTGTCCATATAAAAGCGGCTCTGGATGAATTGTTGTTTTCCTCCTGGCATCAACGTCGATGTGTCCTTCCCTTGCCACGTCGTCAATGTAGCAATATCATCATTGCTTGTAATTCCTTCTTGCTTTCTTTCAACACTTTCAAAATACAGTAGCAATGTCGCTTCCAAACTTGCTTAATTGCCCGCCATCGAGTAAAAGAAATGGCGGGTAAAATCGTTCCAACGTATACGATTTAGCAGAACTACAGTAATCATTTAATAGTTATAAAAATATTTAATATCCACTAACACCAATAAAATTTAAAAAATAAAACGTTAAATATTTTTATCAGTATTAAAGAAATAATTAGAAGTGAATGAAGTAAACGAAATAATTAAATGAATAATTAAATATGAATAATTAAAAAAATGAATTATTAGAATAAATAAACTATTAAAAGTTAAACATAAATAAATTAATTAAATAAATTATAAAAAGTGAAAAATAAATTAATTGAACAAATTATTGAAAGTTAAACGTAAATAAATAAATTAAGTAAATTATTAAAAGTGGAAAAAAATAACGCGGCACAGCTTATCCAATCACAAAAGACTTCCAGTTGACGCGACCCAAAATGCCGGTAACACATGGTCAAATATTTACACGCGTTAAAGTGAAGTTTTCAGTACTAAACAAAACGTTTCGTGAAGTATTTGATAACATCGTCGTGATATTTACGAAAAGACCATATCAGAAGTTAAAGAAATTAAAAGGATTTTTACCAAGAACAGGATAACTAACTGTGAATATTTGTTCGGTGGTAATATACCACATGTGGAAAAAAGTGATTTAGTGAAATTAACTGGTGTGTGTGCGGATCATATAATACAACGGAATAGTCACGTGTCATCGATCGAAGATTCCAGAATTCGATCGACCAATAGGATATTGCTTACCATTGCTCGGAATAGGCAGTTTCATAATAGTTTTTACAATTCTTGTTCGATTTCAACGGTGCATATAAGAAATAATAAATCGCGCTGTGTCCTTCATGTTATTGCTTAGATATTCATAATTTCCATCTTGCATTAGTATATTTCATAATCACTCGTTAGAATTGACTGTTCTCTAATCAAAATTTTTTCCGATTTAGACGGTTCGCGAAGGAGTATAGCGATGGAAGTACGAGCGAGAATAAAATCGTACTACCTCGATAAATTGTTTCGTTTAGATAGTCCAAATTTCTACACTGCACTAGAATATTTCACACTCACTCGTTACAGTAGAATGTGTTATAATTAGTAGCCTTATACTTTTCCGACATTATCCGTTCTTTCCGAAACACAGCGACGTAAGTGCAAGGGCTTCTAAAATCGAGATACATCGCTAAAGTCTTTCGCTCAGTTTCATGAAACTTCCATTTTTGATTAGGTTCCCGTGCTATCACACCATAGAACAGATCGTTCCATAATTAGATAGTCGAACTTTTTCCGAATTACAATACGCGTTATCGAAAAATAGTACCGGAAGTGAGAGTGCGTGAGACAGGCTACTGCGTAGTTTCCCGTCGGGGCGTACCTTTGCTAAACGGGGATTGTTCAGAATAATTTTTTCGCCTAATTCAATAGACTAGAATCTCCTCTACTAGAATCAATGGTTCTTTTGACGGTGTGAATGCGCGTTTTCGGAAAATAGTACCGGAAGTGAGAGTGCGTGTGACAGGCTACTGCGTAGTTTCACGTCGGGGCTTACCTTTGCTAAACCGGGATTGTCCAGAATAATTTTTTCGCCTAATTCAATAGACTGGAATCTCCTCTACTAGAATCAATGGTTTTTTTGACGGTGTGAATGCGCGTTTTCGGAAAATAGTGCCGGAAGTGAGAGTGTGTGTGACTCGCTACTGCGTAGTTTCCGGTCCGGGCTTATCTTTGCTAAACCAGGATTGTCCAGAATAATTTTTTCGCCTAATTCAATACACTAGATTCTCCTCTACTAGAATCAATGGTTTTTTTGACGGTGCGAATGCGCGTTTTCGGAAAATAGTGCCGGAAGT